AACAATGTAATGGTAAGTGAACTGGGGACACAGAGAGAGTGTTGTTGAGTCGAGCAGGTGAGACACTCGTTGTGAATTATAGCGTTTGCTATAGCGCAACTGTTGAAATTAAGTGTATTGCAAAGTTGTATTCAGAAAGAATAAACCAGTTTTACTTAAGAAAGGACTTGTATCGGTAAGGTTTTTTCGGAAAAAATGTTTACGGAAAATTAACTAACGACCGGAGGCGTAACAAATTGGTGTCAGGGAGTGGGACGGAAAAGAAAGAAAAAAATGGAAACGAGAAGCTGCAAATCAAACTTGCAGATTTGATGGCAGCAATACAAGAGCAGCAAAAGAAACAAGAAGAGAGACAACAGCAGTTGCAAGAAAACTTGCAACAGTGGCAGCTCGAACAGCAAAATAAACAAGAGAAATTACAGCAGTTGTTGGAGGAAAAAGAAAAGAAACAAAACAAGAAGAAAGAGATTACAGCAGTTATTGGAGGAAAAAGAAAAGAAACAAGAAGCGAGATAACAGTAGTGGCAACTAGAACAAGAAAGGAAACAGGAAGAAAGTCAGCAGCAACTACAGGAAAGTCAACAACAATGGCAAGTACAAATGGAAAACATTAGTAAATTTAAAAGTGAATTAGATACATTAAAGGATGATCTATTCTCTTTTACACAAGGAGGATACATTAACCATCGACTTAATCAGCCCCAGACAACTGGAAGTCCCTTCCAGACCCTGCAGGTAAACCCTAATGCAGACATCTTCAGTCCTGACAGAAGTCACATTCCAGACATGAGTGTCAGCAATAGGGGTGATCTAGTGCAGAGTAAGTCACAGGAATACAATGGGAAGGCACCGTGGGAAGCATATAGAGCACAATTTGAGCTACTGGCAGAGATGAATGGATGGACAGAAGAACAGAAAGCAGTATATCTGGCAACGAGCTTGAAAGGACAACCACTGGAAATACTTGGACAATTGTCAGCAGACGACAGACACAACTATAGAGCACTGGTAGCGGCTCTAGATCTCAGGTACGGAACCCAAAATCAGTCAGAAGTCTACAGGGCTAGGTTTAGGACGAGAGTCCGTGCTAAAGGGGAGAGCCTGCAAGAGCTGGCACAGGACTTGGAAAGCAACTGCACCACCCGATCTCCTCAAGTTGTTGCTGAGGGATCAGTTTGTAGATGCCTTGGACAGTCCACAACTAAAGATACAAGTGAAGTAAGCACACCTCTCTACCATGCATGATGCAATGGCCAGAGCTCTCGAATTCGAATCCTACGTTAAGTCCAGCACAGAGGTACCAAGGTCGGTACAGTCATGTGGATTCAAGGCTAGAAAAGGTCAACTTTGAAAGAAGTTGGAACGACTTTGCTGGTACTGTAACAAACCTGGGCACAAGAGAGCTCAATGCTGGCAACTTCAACACAGGGGAGATGCCACAGCAGGAAAGGCTTATTGGAACTGTGGACATCTCAGGAGCCAGTGCAAGAAGAATACCACCAATAAGTCAGCTCCGGGAAACCAGTAGTGGTTGGTGCTAAGAGACGCCCACCAACCCCTATTGTGAAAGTCCCAACAGCTAAGTGTAAAATGGCAAGCACACATAGTGTCTAAGTGACAGGGAATCTGGATGGCCAAAGGTGCAACTTTGCAATAGATTCTGTATCTCAGCAAACCCTTGTGAGCATCATGGTGTCAGATCACGAAGGAGTACCAGAAGCTGTACAGAAGCTCTGTGGTGTGACAGGACATTATGCAAGGTTGTGGGGACCAGTGTGGGTAACTCATGGACATGAAGAATAGACAGAAAGTATACTTGGCTGACATTGAAGACCAATGCATATTAGGATTGGACTATTTACTACTGAGGAGGTGTGTAGTTAACTTCGATAAAATGACAGTTGAAAACAACAAAGGCCAGACTCCAATAAGTGTTGCTACATCTGTTGATCTGCATGTCACAGCCCTTAAGTCAACTACAATACCCCCTATGTCAAAGAAGGTAATTTGGGCTAGGATAAAAGAACATCCCCAAGGAAGCCCAATGCTTGTGGAAGCAATGGAAGACCCATCCAGGCCAGCGGATTTGAAGATTGGAAGGTCGCTTATGGCAGGTCATCAAGTAGTAACTATAACACTGGCCAATTTCTCTAAATGTGAGCAGAAACTTAAGGAAGGGGCATTGTTGGGCATGTGCCAGGAAGTAGAGCCAGTCAATGTTAAAGCAAGGAATACAACTGTAAAGAAAGGACATACACTTCCAGAATATTTGACTGACCTCTATAAGACGAGCATAGTCCATTTGTCATCAT